ACTGGAATAAGAATGTTCACTTTCATTTAATTCCTTTATTAGAGGAAAAAAGTTTTTCAGGAAAGGTTTGTATCTTTTGGTCTAATAAGAATTCTGGGGGTGAGATGAAAAGACGACAAGCTTTCAGATAATTAAAGTATTTGAACTCATTAATGAGCATCTTTTCCTTCCCTATTCGCAAAACTATCATGCCTATTTCAAACAAAGGTAGGAATGTGGATAAAGCGTTTCATTGACAAATCTTAAGAGAGTACCGTGCTAGCTATAATGTTGAATCCGGAAGCTCAGAATTGTAGGATCTCCTAACAGATAGACCGTATTGCTGCCTGCTGTGCAGCAATTAATCTCTTAAAAGATTAAGCAGACTTTCTTATAGTTATTTTAAGTAAATAACTAATATAAAGCTATTGTTCTGTCCTATGCAACACCATCCTGTTCACGTCATTAGAAAATTTAGTGGTTTTCCATTTAAGAGGGCTGTTTCTCCCCCACCCCGAATGATGCATTTTGCTTCTGCTCTTAATGTTGCAGCTTTTCTTTGTTTTCCTGTGTTGAGTGTTTTGGCTACAGCTTCCAGTTGAAATCTTAGTGGGAGAAGCTCCCTCCAAAAAGCCTCCGTAAAAAGTGACATGTAAATGTGTCACAGTGATCTTCACTTCAGCCTTTGTAGGATGTGCAAGATACAGTTGTAACCTGTGCTAATTAAAGGCTTACACCACATTGCATATACTCTGCAGGATTATTTACATTTATTTTTAGGCTCCATATTTTGACCTAGGCTTCAGGAGTAGTTTAGTGTCAATTTCCTTCACATTGGTGGTTTAGCTGTACTTATGCATTAAGTGCTGACAAAGCTCAGTAGGTAGGTGTAGAACAGAATTCAGTTGGATCTACTCTCATTCGTGTGTATGATGAGCTTTTTCATAAAGTTAACCAGAGTCAATTAGTGATTGGATGAGACTTGTGATAGGAAGTTTCTTAGGTGAGCTTTCTGCACAGAGAGTTCAGGACTCAAATGACCAGAAGTGATCGAACCAGGAGAATAAACCGTGTGTGCAGATGGTACCAAACAGATGAGTTAATAAAGTTGACTGTTGAGAGCACCCTAACTTTTGGTACGTAACAGGCATCTTCCTTTTGGATATGGAGGAGTTAATCATGCAAGGTGCTGGTTTACGTGGTTTGCAGACCATCAGGATCTGGGTTCACCTCTTTGCCTTTCCACATCACTCCCACAACTGCTGTTGTAGCATTTATTATAAAATCATGGAGTTTGGAAAGGACCCTCCAGGGTCATCTAGTCCCACCTCCTGCCCAAAGGAGGTATAGTTAGACCAGATTGCTCAGGATCTTAGCCCTACAAATAATGTATCTCTTGACATACAGCAACATGGGATCTTTTGAACACATTGTGCCATCTGATTCAGAAATGCTTGGTTTAAAACTAGCTTTCACTAAATAATTATAACACAAATGTCCTCAGAGGAAAGTAAAGACCAGTATCAGCTTTTTCCTTAATTATAACATTTCAGAAGAATGTGGGGAAAGCATAGTTCTGTAGAAAAGTCTCTTATTTTATTGAACTTGACCAGTTTAGCTTTTTTAATAGCCCCAGGAAAAGAAAAAAACCCAAATCTGTTTCTTTCTCCTTTCCCTGCTTCCCCCCAATCCTGCCTCTGTGTACATATGTGTCTTTGAACTGTGCGTAGTGATGGGTGCTTCTGTAGGATTCCTTGATACCTAAGCACAATGAGATTTACTCTAGAAGGTCTTTCTTCCTTGTCCTGGAATTTAGCTGGTTGAAGCCCCACTTACTTATTGTAACCAAGTTTATGCTATGAGTTGAATTCTTGTGGCTTTATCTACTTATCAATGACAACAATATTTTTCCTGTGCAGTTGCAGTTTCTCTAATCTCAAGACTGAAATGTTATCTAGAAGCTTTGCTAATGTTAACTTTTGCCACCTCCCCTTCCTCCTCCAGCCTTGTATTTAAATTCTTGTTTTCTGTTGCCCTCAGACTCTCGCTTAAGGAAAATGGAAGCTGTGAAGCATGTCTTTAATTATCGAGATATTTTCTGCAAGTTCTGGGTTTCAAGATAGCTAGCAATTGTTCTTCTATTCCTATTGCCCTCTCTGTGTTAATCCTGACCTGGAGGGATGGTTTGGTCTGGGAGCAGATGCCTGTACTTCAACCTTCCATCAGGAAGTTACTGAACTGTAACAATCTATTTATGGTACCTTTTGTACTGCTAATAACCCAGCAAGGGCTAAGATTAAGCCATCTCTGATTTTGTTTTGCATGCGTTTGGTTGAAAAGATGAGTTAGAGCCGATGAAGTCAGCAGAGGGGAAGGACAAAGGAAGTAAAATCTTGATTCCAATAGTAGTTTTCTTTGTCTGTTGAACAATGGGAATCGTTATGAATTCTCTAAATTTGGCTTTCTTATTTATTCATATGTGAAAAATTCAGGGTTGCAGAAACTTCCAACAAATTATTGTCAGCTAGGAGGGGTAGGAAAGAAGTCACTTTAGCTCACCATTAACTGCACTAGAAAGGAATTCTGGGTTCTTTATTGTAATAGTTGATGTTGCTTTTCTATCTGTACCTTTTGGGCTTCTCATAGTGGATCATTAACTTTTTTTTCATCCTTGTGTTTTGACTTGATGTTTTTCTCAAATGACAACATGCCCATTTCTGAACTGATTTCACTTTATTGATCACATCTTGCTCCAGGGGTGAGCTGAGATCCATGTAAACATTATCTTTTTAGAAGGAAGTGGCATTAAAGCTGCTCTAGCACCTGCTAATATAGATGGGACCAGACTTCCTGTTCAAGAGGAAATCCTAATTTACTCTTCCTTGTAAACTGGAGGCTGATCAGCTTACCACATAGTAACCTTTTGACTTGTAAACACTGTGTTCCTTTGGACTGCTTTTAGTCTCTAGAAATTATTTCCCTCGGGCTTGGTGGTAACTTTAACAGTAAACTTTGACTGTGTTGAATATCATGAAAAAGCAGTAACCCTTTTCTGATGAACTAATTTTAATGCAGTCAAGCATACCTATGAACTCAAGTAGGTGCTTAAGATGCCTTCGGGTTCTAAAAAGGTGGCTGTATTTTTCTTTGCACTCTTAACCACCAGTGCAGTATTAAACAAAGAAACTTGTTATCCATTGGGTATGGAAAACAAATGGAGTTATTGTGATTATTTGCTTTGTGATGCAGACTTTCAGCTCTTGAAAATGCTTGTTACGTGTGGGTGGGGAGTTGGCTCTGGCTGGGACAGTCACGGTGAATCACTGGCAGTAGTGCCAGATTTGGCATGGATGGAGATTTGGGTTGGGGCCAATAAAGTGAGTTACAGTGCTTTTTTTATTGTTTATTACCCAGCCCTCAAAAAGATTTTTCTGTCCTTGAGGAGGAAGGAAGAGATCAAATTTAGCAGGAGCAGTATTTGTTTCCTTTTACTGCTAATACAGCAAAAGAAAGCTGCTTCTGAAATACACGTGTGCTACAGACTTCTGACAGCCTTGTTCAGATTGAGGCCTCTGAACAAGGTACGCATCTGGGGCTCTCCTTACGGATCCCACAGCTGTGAGGTTTTGAATGAGGAGCACGTACTGGGACTAAGAATTCAAAGTAGTTCTAGAGCTTTATATATATGTGTGTGTATATAAAAAAATCATCTTGCAAAGATGTGCATCTAGAATCCTTCTGCCTATGTAAGTAGTACAAATTTAAATAATATTCTGCCAGCATAACCTGTTTTGTTCCTCTGGGGGTTGATACAGCTTACTGAAATGATGGAAGTGGATTGATTCACAAGGAACCAAGACTCCTCATACTTCTTGTCTTCTCTCACCATAGCCTGAAGACTTAAGAATTTCTGTTCTTTTGTGGTTTTCAAAGCACGTTGATAACAGAATGCTGGTGTTAAATCTAAAAAAGTACAATTTCCTTTCTAATGCCTTTTTTTCTCCTAGGCATTAGGGCTCCACAGGCATACATGTGCCCAACTCCCACTCAGGGTGTTTCTATGCATCTCTTCATTGCTAGTATGGCTCTTAGGTTGCTCTTTTAAGAGTACTTCTTATAAACAGGCAGAGTGGGTTTTTTTGTTAGCCCAAACTAGCAAGCTTACTATTCTTTTTGATTAAAATGTTTGTGAAATATATGTTTGGTTTTTTTTTTTTTAAAGGCAAAAAGGCATTAGCCTATGTACTTTTTTTTTTAAGTTCAGACTTTAATACATTTTGTGTAGCACAAACAGTTGCTTTTGTTAGCAGAATTATGTTACAGAGAATGTAAAGATATTGGTATCTGAAGAAGTCTTGTGACAACATTTCAACTCTGTTTAAAACAAATGAATTTTTCTATTCTCTCTCCTTTTTCCAAAGAGCTCTTTTTTCATTATGTCACTAGAGAACACTGAGGATATAATAGAATAAATCTGTAAAAAGGGTTCTCCTGAGGAACTAAGTCCTTAGAAAATTGACAAGACAACTGCATCTCTCATTGCCCTGGTCTTTCAATGCTGTAGCACTCTAGAGCAAAGTAGCTAATATCTTGAAAGCTATCTTCATAGAGTGAAAAAAGCTATGGTGCTTGATGCAGTAAGCCAGCAGTCACCTTTGAAAAGTAATTTGAACTTTTTTTTATACCAATCACAATTTTTATCCTATTGTGAGATGATTATGTGAGGATGGGACTTCTTGTGTAAGAACAACTGATATATGGTACAGCTCTTGTAACACATAGTGCTTGGTGGTGTTTGTTGCCATAGTGTGTACTACAGTTGAGCTAGATGGGTTCCAGTGAGGATGTTCAAGAGGACTAGTATGTCCCTTCTAAATAGGAGAAATAAAGTTTTGTTATCTGTTGTATATTGAACAGTTGGCCTTGTTCTTGAGAGTGGTAAGTGCAGTGTTCTAAATACTTGTAGTGCTGATAAATAAGCATCATGTTGCTAACTTTTAACATGTGAACTTACATCTTAGGTGTCATTATGGCTGGCAAGGACAGTTCTGTGATGAGTGTGTCCGCTACCCAGGCTGTGCTCATGGGAGCTGTAATGAACCATGGCAGTGTAATTGTGAAACCAACTGGGGTGGCCTGCTCTGTAACAAAGGTACTTAACATTAATTGTATAGGAAAAATAAGTAAAGTTGCATGATTAACTGATAACTTATTAACCATTTTTTTCCTGCTAGTGTGCAACTACCTATATTTCTGTGCCTAATTCTTTTACGGCAGATGGTGCTTAAACATCATGAGTATAGGAAGTTTAAGACAAAAGGCTTGGACATGGTCCTGACTGTTCTAACTTACGCAGTTGTCTCTTGCTCATCCTTCCCAGTTCTGTGGGTGGTAATGAGATGATAGGCTAGCTAATGGAATATGGGGATGATGCGGGTGAATGATGTTCAAGCCAGAAAGGCACATGTATGTGACTGGTGATTAAACTGTTGAGATTTGTGTCCACTGTTGATTGACTTTTTTCTATGTCCAGATCTGAATTACTGTGGAAATCACCATCCCTGCCTGAATGGTGGAACCTGTATGAACACTGAACCAGATGAATATCGCTGCGCTTGCCCAGATGGCTACTCTGGAAAGAACTGCGAAATTGGTACTTCTGGAGATTCCATGTATCTTCAGAAATCTGAAACTGCTTTAGGCATGGCTATGTTCTAGTTAGCCAGGTGGCATTTTTATATGCTTATTGCATTTTTTTTGTGCGATGGAGGGGCTGTTTTCTCCTTTCCAAAAGCTAGCTTGGTTTCTGAGAGGGCAAGTGCAAAATTGTTGACATGCAACTTGTCCTTCCAACTTGATTGTTACTTTGTGTGACAGCAGGCATGTGCCAGCTCCATCTCTCCTGTCTTGTGCCTTAGGCTGGCTATTCAGAAAAACACTGAAGACAACAGAAATGCTGCAACAGTTTTGCTTGGATTTAAATAAGAGTGAGAAGGTTTCTTCCTTTCCTTCCCAAAAGTTGTGAGGAGGCACCTTACCTCTTCAGATGAGGAGACAGGGATAAAAGGAGTCATATGTTTGAGTTCTATACTGATTATTAGCAGTAGTTTGGTGTGTGAGCTGCTTTAGGGACTAATATCATAGATGTTATAAATTCAGTTTGCAAACTAGATAACATCCCTGAAAGATCCCAAAATATAAATGCTAGCCACAATTAGAAAGCCTTACCTAGTAAGGGGATTGTTTTCTTCTTTCAAAAATCTTCCTTGGCTTCTGAGAGGAAAAAAAATCAAAAGTCATGGCATACAACTTTCTCCTCAACTTGGTTGTTGCTTGTGTTACAGCCTTACATGGAGTGACAACAAGCAGTACTGCCTATAATTGCAAGTAGCTCTATTCCAAGGAACAGTATTAAAATGAAGCTAAACAGACCTTTGATACTTAAACTACTACTACTGCTCAGACCTCTGCATACAGCATATCTGTTTTTTCTCACTGAGGGGGGAGAGAGGGGGCTGGGGGGAAGGTGCTTGAGCTCTCCAGAGGTGGAAGTGTGTGGCTGGAAGCAGTAGGTTCATGGGGAACTTCTCTAGCTCCTAGAATATTGAGGTGGTGACCTGTGTACCTCAGGCTTTCTAGTCAATAGATATGAAGGTTGATGCACCTTCAGTAAAATCCTGCCTTGATCTCCTACTGGGAATGTTACTCTCTGCAGGAGGGAGAGGGAAGCTCCAAACTTCTGTACAGGCATCTCTCTATTGCTCATGCTCTTGGTCACTTCTAATCAGAATGCAATTTCTAACCATGCTAGTTCTCCTTAATTGATACTGGAAGTGTATTTAGCAAGAATTTATTTTCCTCTTTCTTCCCAGCGGAGCATGCTTGTGTATCTAATCCCTGTGCTAACGGTGGAATTTGTCATGAAATTTCATCAGGCTTCAAGTGTCACTGCCCATCAGGGTGGAGTGGACCAACATGTGCTATTGGTGAGTATGCATTTACTGATGACTGACCTGTTTGATGGGAAGGGCTGATACAGTGGCTTTATAGTATTGCACTCTGTGGGTATGGAATTTGGTGGTAGTCTTTTACTTTCGTGGAGTCATAGAATGGTTTGGGTTGGAAGGGACCTTAAAGATCATCTAGTTCCAACCCCCCTGCCATGGGCAGGGACACCTCCCACTAGCCCAGGTTTCTCAAATCCTCATCCAGCCTGGCCTTGAACACCTTCAGGGATGGGGCACCTTACCTGTCTTGTAACACCTATGTATTGGGAGACCGAAAAGATTAGTTCTACTGCGTAGACAGCAGTGCCTATTCAATGCAGTTGAGGTCTGCAGGTTATCAAAAGCATAACTGGACCATATCCAAAGAAATGCCCTGTTGCCAAAGCTTGTAGGACAATTTCTGACTCTTCAGCCAGTCTAAAGCAAAATTGAGAATGGATATATTTTAAGAAATGCAAACGTGAACATGAAAGGTTCTCCACCTCTTAAAGTAGTAGATGAGTAGGTTACTCAAATCTTAAGTGTCTGGTCTTGGAAGAGAGGGAAGTAGTTGAAATGTATTGTGGACCTATGTAACTGGTTTCCATGTTGCCTGTGATTTGGCACACAAGTTTTTATTTGTTTTTCAATGGCAAATATCCTCAAAAAAAACCCAACCAACCCACAGCTGGCTAAACTTCTGTCGTGATCTAGATCTGTTTGCAGATAGAAAATTTAAGAGTTCCTCTCTCTCCTATCTCAAAGATGTGAGAAAAGCTTGGGTAAAAATTAGGTTAGAAGTGTTAGTCTGTCCCTAAGCTTACTTGTTTGTACAATCTCCCCCTTTATCTGCAAATCTTTTTTAAAAAAAAAAAAAGCCCAACAGGTTAAGCCAAGTTTTAAACCATATAATGGAAGGCATGGTTTGACTTTACAGATATTGACGAATGCGCATCTAACCCTTGTGCTCAAGGAGGGACCTGTATTGATGGTGTTAATGCATTTGAATGTATATGTCCACAACAGTGGATTGGAGCAACATGTCAGCTTGGTAAGTAATTACCTTCTAGAAGACCACTGGATGCTATTCCTAAATAATTAATAACTCTGTGTAAGTGTGTTTCTGTCATGATATTATTGAAGTAAACATGGAAGATGTGTGTTGCTATTGGTATCTTAGCTCTTTTTTTAATAGGTCTTAAAGCAAGAAGTTTCAAGTGAACCTGTAACTATTTAAGCCCCAACTTCAGCTTACTTATAATAGTTTCTCTAGAATGCCCAATAACTTTACTGTTTCAAAATACAGCATTGGTGATGGTAACTCTTTCTTCATGGTGGCAGAACAGTGACTATAAGCTTATGGAGGCGAGGAAGGGATTTGCCCTGACTAACATTTTACCTTTGAGTTTTGGCAAAGGGAAAAGTAAGATAATGCGCATGTGCTACTATAGACAAGTGTGCATTAAAAACCTGTGGTATGTTAATGGTTTTTGTGCTCTACCAATGTGTAATATGAGCTTCTGATGCTTGGATTGCATGGAAACTTTGCTTGGTGGTGTGGTAATCTGTTTCTGCATTTGTTCTTTATTCTCTTCTTTATTTTCTCTTCTTTCACAGATGCTAATGAGTGTGAGGGGAAACCCTGTGTTAATGCTTACTCTTGCAAAAATCTCATTGGTGGATATTACTGTGACTGCATTCCAGGATGGACAGGAGTAAATTGTCATATCAGTTAGTATTTCTTTAGTATATATGTTGAACATAGGACACTTTATTCTTTAGAAAAGATTTTATGATAAATGATAGTATACATACTTGTACAAGAAAAAATACCTGTTGTCAGAATCTTTCCAACTTCCAGCAAGGTAAACTGAAAATGCTGTTTGAAAATTTATTTAGAGACTTAATTGGTATTAAAATGAGCTTAGATATATACTTGCGTAACTCTAATAAATCTCTCCCTGCCCACTCATCCCTGATTCTGAATGATATCGTGTACTTATTCAGTTTAAAGCAGCTAAGCATTTTAGCATTCTTAGCTACAGTGTTAGATAAGAAATTAGCTGATAGCATTTGATTTTAATTTCTGTTACTCTGTAAAAGATATATGGAATCTGTAGTTTTCTACTAGATATTTTTAAAAATAAGAATCTCTTAAGACATCGGGCATCCTTGCTTTCCATTGAAACATCTGGAAAAATCCTTTTTGAAAATAATTTGTTCTCCATTTTTATGCTAGACCTGTACTTTACAGCTTAGTCTTCCAGTATAAATTCTAATGCCTTGCATATTTTATCCATAGATATCAATGACTGTCATGGACAATGTCAACATGGAGGGACTTGTAAGGTAACTCTTGTTTATTACATGGCATGTTGAAAATTAATCTTGTTCTGGCTAGTTATGAGTTTTATAGTTTGGAATTACAGGTTGGTTAAATGAGGTTAAATATTAAGTCTAGTGTTGCTCTTGCAGACTCTTGTACCATTTCACAAAATAATTTTATGTGGTGCTAGTGCCGCTTACAAATGTAGAATATAGAAATAATTTGAATTCTTGTGTGCAAGCTTTATCAATAAACAAGTCTTTCTACTTTTGCTTTTTTTTTACCCTCTGTGAAGGATGAAGTGAATGGTTACCGTTGCTTATGCCCTCGTGGTTTCACAGGAAAAAACTGTGAGACAGAAACAAATGAGTGTGAAAGCAATCCATGCCAAAATGGAGGCCGTTGCAAAGACCTGGTGAATGGATTCAGTTGTCTGTGTTCACAGGGGTTCTCAGGAGTCTTCTGTGAGGTGAGGGCAGTGGTGACATTACTGCAATAGTTTTCATGAATTGAATTCTTGAAAGAAACATATCTCTGCGTTTAAATGGGAGTAACCCAAGGCTAAAGCATTACTGGCTAACATAGCTGTTACTTGGTATTGTGAATAAGCAAATTTGTTGTGTAGTGCTGTCATAGTAGCTGTAACACTTGAATTTGCAGCCTGATAAACTGAACTGCAATTTGTTGCCCATAGGTGTTGGCTCTCCTAAATGTTTTAAGGCTGCAAGTATTCCTTAGGCTTGAAACATTTTCCTTCACAGTTTTCAGGACCTGTGTCCTGTTATTACACTAGAATGTTTTAGGTCTTAATCATAATAACTCTGAAGTACATAATTCAATTCAATAATCCTGCTGTTGGTAGGAGTATCCACATAATTAAAGGCAGGCAGATATGGACGTATTGTGCCTCAGAACTTTCTGACTGAGATCATTAGAAGAACATGTAGTTTGAGTGCTTAAATAAGGATTCAGATCAGAAATATTGAAGTGCTAGTGATAATTCCTAAAGTTTCTAATGATAATGATCTCCCTCTATGTAGTGAGGACATTAGGCTCTTCAATGTAAAATTATATTGCTTTAAGTATGTACTTCCTGGCTTTCACTGATACACAAATTCATGTAAATGTTATGGTTAGCAAGACACGATCAACTGGAGGCATTGAGTTAGAATTTTGTTGGATTTGCCCCAGCATTTTTTGTGGAGGACATTGGAGCAATGTCTCTAAAATGCTGAAGTAATTTTATTCTGTATTATTTACATTGTTACAGAAACAGTGCCCTCCTTTTATTCAAAATCAAAGTGTTGCAGATCCAGTTTTATTAAACTAGTGCAGTACCTAATAGCTCATGTACCAGTTCTACGTAAGGATCATCGCTTGACTGCTCTACTCTTGGCTAATTCATACCATATTGTGTAATTAAAGTTTTAGCAAATCTCTTTGAATAATAGGGGGGAGTTGGCTGCTTGCCTTGTGTATTGCAGGAAATATCTACCGTTGATTCCAGATGCTAAAGTACCAGCTACTGAACTTGCATTGGGAAGGGGAAATTTATACTAATGGAAGGAAACAAATGGAGACATCTGATAGAGGACATCTGAGAATCTTTCTTCCACTTTAATTTTTTGTAATTTGCTGTGAATTTTCCATATGAGAGCACAAAATAGCTTGCTGAAAATCTCTGTTGTAGCTGGAGCTGTATGTGCTGCTCTGAATTAAATACTTAACACCATTTCACCATTTGTGTTTCTTCTGTTTTGAATTTTTCTCCTGTTTAGCTACAGAACTTCTAAAAATAGTGACCAAATCCACTATTGGATATATTACGTCTGTAAGGTTGAGAAAGCTATCTTTCTCACAAGAGAGATGTGAAGAGGGAAAAAAAATAATTTGAGGGGAGGAAAGTAATCCTTAAGAATAACAATTTGGAGGAAAGATACTGTGATGTACCAATATCCCTTTTGGGGCTGCTTTGTGGATTTTGAGGCCAGTTTAGGGCCTCACCAGTCAGTGATCTTGCATGTCGATCAAAGATGTAAAAAAAGCAGAATTGCTTTGCTACATCAGTTTGTCCATGTTAAAGGTTATATTATGAAAGATAGGTTTAAATTTTACTTTTTTGAATTGGATGGTAAGAAGTGTTCAATATGTACCTAGCATTTCTGTGTGTAATTTGGCATGGTGATAGTATTTGTAAGAATAAGACCCTGAGCAGCTTGGTCTAACCTAGACCTACTTTGAGCAGGGGGTGGGAGTAGCTGACCTCTAGAGGTCCCTTCAAAGCTATGTGGTTCTATAGTAAATTCTCTATGTTCACTGAGATGGTAAGAGAAGTTCCTCTAGAGAATAGGATTTTTTTTAAGGTTCTTTGTATTCTAAGTGTCTTGCAGACACAAAGTTGACAAGTGCACTGGTATTTAACTTGCAGTATAGCACTTAGTATGTAGGTGTGAAGGACAGAGAAGTGACTTACAATGATCCAGAATGGTCATAGTAATGGTGTCTCTTAATGGCTTGTTCTTTGCTAGGTTATTGCAGATGTGCTTATTCATCCTCCTGCAAAGGAATGTTTTTTTAGTGGTATCAGAAATGCTTTGTGTTAGGATTGACTGAAGTAACATGAAGTTTCTCTTTGTGATGCAGGATGGAATGCAATATATATGATTCATAAATCTTCTTAAAACTTGAAGCTGCCTGTAAATGAGCTTCATCTGTGTCTTTAGCAACACAGATAATGCTGCTTACTCCTGGGAAACGAAGCAGCTGCTGCTAACTATGGTCTCTCTTACAGATGGATATTGATTTCTGTGAACCTAACCCTTGCCAGAATGGGGCTAAATGCTATGATCTGGGAGGAGATTATTACTGTGCCTGCCCTGATGACTATGATGGAAAGAATTGTTCTCATCTCAAGGACCACTGCAAGAACAATTCTTGTAAAGGTACCTGCTGTTGTCCAGAAACTTGTCTTAATGTTTTGTTGATACAGTAGTTGAAAAGTAGTCTTTCTGGAAATAGGATAAAGCAGAAGCATTTTTATTGTACTCGCTTGGACTTTGTGAAATAGTGAGGCACTGAGAAGAAATAGTTGTAATCGTCCTTATTTATAAAAAGGTAGAGGGTAGCTTACAGTTAACATAACATTTAAATTATGATTAGTCTTAATTTTTGGATAACACTTTAAAAACTGGTGATGCAGGTTATTAGTCTGATTATATACTTCTCATTTGTAGTCATAGACAGCTGTACAATAGAAGTCTTCACTAATGCTACCCAAGAAGGAATCCGCTTCATTTCATCTAATGTTTGTGGGCCTCATGGACGGTGTATTAGTCAGCCAGGAGGGAATTTTACTTGTGCATGTGAAAGAGGTTTTACTGGAATATACTGTCATGAAAGTAAGTAGCAGTTTCTTCTAAATGATTTTGTTGCTCTTAAAGCTTTTGTTATGAAGCATTACAACATAAAAAAAAAAAATTATTAAAGTTGCATAGAGCATTGTTTCAGGTGTACTGCTTGAAATACAGTTTCTTCTGGTAACATTTGTCACACTTCCTCTGTGAAATAAATTGTTGACTTTTTGTCACAGATATCAATGATTGTCTTGGGAAACCTTGCAAGAATGGTGGGACATGCATCGATGAAGTTGATTCATTTAGATGTTTCTGCTCCAGTGGCTGGGAAGGAGAACTGTGTGACACAAGTGAGTACTGCTGAGTGTTGCAGGGTCAAATACTACAGCTTTGCTGTAACCGTTGGTGATAGTTGGTATGTGGTTAATAATAATGGGGTAGTTTCTCTGTTCTCTAATTACAGTCTACACAGTGGTGTTTGCAAAACTTTTTTCAGTAAGATTTTTGGGTAGCAGCTCTAAAAGGCTCAGTTCCTTTAATAGGACCATAATCTGATTCTTTAGTACAGTACAGCATATATCTGAGGAGAGAACTACTTTTTCTCCTGAGGAGAGGCAGAAGTGAATATACCCTCTTAGGGGGCCTACTCATTATATTGCTTTTATTGCTATAAACATTTGTACTTCTTAGTACGCACTGTACTAAATTTGTCCTTTACCCAATCTATACATACACAGTAGTTTCCAAACTTGAAAAGCTTTTTGGCTTTAACCCAGTGGAAGCTATAATGTGCTTCTACCTTACTGAGGAATTTCATAAATTTTTAATATCTATTCCTATAGTAAGAAAAGAACTGCTGATGCCTGAATTTCTGCTCAGTGAATATCATGAGTCAGTGTTTAGTATTCTGATTCTGTGGGAGCAGGCCTTCACTCTTGCTGCCCTGGCTTGAGACATTTTGGCCCTTAGTTGACAAATAAACGTACTAGGCCAGTTCATGGCTGTTACGTCAGAGGAAACTGCAGTTGGTTCTTTTTCTGCTCTGAATGAAGCCCCTTCTAAAACGTGATGGCAAGGACTTGCTGAGACTTATTACAGGACATGCCTGAGATGTGAAATTAAGACTGAGAAGCTTTTGGCAGCTATCACTGTCAAGAGTGTTTTGTGTGGTTGAGATGAAGTTCAGTCTGCAATAATAAATGTTCTACCTATTAAAATGTTTGTCTCAAGTGAAAGGAGTATTCTCTAAAATTCATGTATGTTTATGCAAATGCTCAATGTGTATATACACACATATATGTGTGTGTATATATATACATGGTTAAAACATGGCTTTAACGCTCTGTATTTTGAGACATGAAGCAGGAGAAAGAGCCTTAACTGTCTCATAGGGATGTCCTGTGTTGAGGCTCCTTTTCAGGACACTGTGATCTCTGCTAGGAAGTTTTCTCTGAAGTTCGGTATACAGCTGTTTGCTGGAAAAATGAAACTACTTTGGTGCTCTACTTAAAAGCCATACTGAATGATACTTTTAAGCTGTCAGAAAATCTTTCATAATTCATGTTGTTCTTTATTAAATTAGAGTTTTTTTCTTTGCTTATCTAAAGATAACCCCATAACAATCAGGAGCTCTGTCTTCCTAAATAATAATCTATTTCCTTTATAAAGAAGTATTTTATACTTTCTCATGGCCTTGGCTAGGCTAGATCATCTAATTTGAATAACTCTTTTTCTAGATTTCAATGACTGTTCTCCTAACCCATGTCACAACGGTGGCCGATGCATTGATTTGGTAAATGACTTCTATTGTGAGTGTAAGAATGACTGGAAAGGCAAAACTTGCCATTCACGTAAGTGTTCTTTACTTTGATCTTTAGTTTACCCAAAGATTTGTTTTCTTCCTTCTCGTGAGACTAGAGTTCCTGAAATTTAAAATGAAACAATTGCAGTGAAATAATAGGCATATTTTCATTACCTTTTCCAGTTTCCCAGTAACAAAATAGAGCATTTAAAAAGTGTATTCCTTCATTCAATGAAATGTTGTTGTAAGAGATACCTTTGGATTCCACTCTTTTGGTTGTTTACTGTAATACAGCAAGTGGAACTATGTGTTTCTAGTACTGTTGCATTTAAATATGAAGTCTCTTTTAAAGTAATTTTGTGATATGAAAGTACCTGGTC